GGGGGGAGGGTGATTAATACTACTGTCTAGTGAGATTTCGGAGAGCTGCACCCAAGCTCCTCTCTCTGGCCCCTCTTCTTCCAGTACAAGAGGAAATCCACCATCGGGGTCTCCTACTCCCTCTTTGCCCTGGTGATGCTGGGGAACTCGCTCTACGGCCTCAGCGTCCTCCTGAAGAACCCCGAGCCGGGGCAAGGCGAAGGTGACTACGTCCTGCACCACCTCCCCTGGCTGGTGGGCAGCCTCGGCGTCCTTTCCTTCGACGTGGTTGTATCCTTTCCCGGCCGACTCTTCCCTCCAGGATCGCATCCCGCCGGCAAGGCTTTGCAAGGAGCGATCCCGTCTTGGGGCAGGCAGGGCTCGGCAGGAGTGGGTGGGTTGATGCTACTCAGCGGCTGCTTTTGAGCTGTGCTTGCTCACCCGCGTGCCGGTGAGTAATTTATGGTGTTGCAACAGCTGAACGCTTCAGACCCTTGTTTGCATTAAGCTCGTTATCCTGTTTCCACCTCTCCTGGCACAAACAGCCTTTTTTCGTGTTGCGTAGATCCGCCTGTGCGTGCGTGAAGAGCCTTAACCTCTTCTCAGATCTCCTTCCAGTTCCTTGCTTATCGGAGAGGAAGACCCGGTACCCGCGAAGAGAGGGATGCTCTTCTCGGCGAGCAGGGGGACAGCTTGCAGAGCTGACGAAGGGACCTGCCCTGGCGTGACAACAGGATGATGCAGACGAGAAAGCTGGCCCTAAAGCCGGGCAAACCGGCCCCTCCATCCCGGTGGCCCTTGGGAGAAGAGGACTTGAGCCAGTGCGTGACATGTTGTGCTGCTAAGACGCTAAGCCCAGCCAGGTGGCAGAGGATGCTGCTGAGAGACCTCGTGCCTCTTTGATACCAATGATGCTCTCGGGATAAACAGGGAATTGTTTGATACCTCAAAAGGTCGCTCTCCACTGCTCGTACGCCCCACAGCTGAGCCCGGTCACTTCTGCTTTACCTGCTGTCTCTCAAGGGTGACCTGGAGCTTCCTCGGTACTGGCAAACATGAGAAGAGCCTGAGGGGCTGCGGGGAGGGGACAGAGGACTCATCTCCACAAGCAGGAGCACCACTTACCTCTGTGGGCCTCACGTCTCCACCACCGAGCTCTTTCTGGAAGATACGGCAGGGGCTGGAACCGTTTCAGAAGGAGGAAGGGAAGGAGCAGCGTAACCAAAGAGTTTTGGTCCACACATATCTATTTTAATTAGCACAGCTCACAGGTCTATAAAACAAGTCCTTGCCCCACATGCCTCCTTCGGTTTTATTTTGCCGGTTTATCTGGCAGCTCCTGCCTCTTTCTTAATGTGTCTCATAGTCCCCATTTCTCTGACTTCTCCTTTTTTGCCTCGCCCACGTTTTCATTGCCTGGGCTTCCCGGGGAAGCTGCTGCATCACTTTCTGGTTAGCTGCGGGGGCAGTTACCCAGGCGGAAGATGCTGCCTCTCTGCTCAATATGGTTTTTGCTCCTGCCTTCTCCCGTTGGTGAACTTACCCCCAACTTGATGAATTTATCCCCACCACTGATGAATTTATCCCCCTGTCGGGGCCCTGCACACCAGCATGGTGGCTCTTTGACCGCGGAAGGACAAGCAGCAGCGGGGTTTGGGTAAAAGCCGTGTCCCCAGGCAGGAGAGAAGCTTTCAGGCGGGCAGGGGAGAGCGGCAGCGGGGCTGCCTCGGCCGGCGCCGCGGG